TCGATAAAATTTAGTGTCCGGCTGGGTGCAAAAGGTTAAGTTTGGTTAGATTAGGTTAGAAGAGTGTTATGTTTGGGTTAGTTAGGTTTTGGGTTAGGAGGTAAGATAGGTTATAAGAATGAGTTGGTTGAGTAATATAACCTGACTCGGATGGGTTAGGTTACGTCAGACGAGTGATAGGTTAGATTAGGTTAGGAAGGAGCTAGGCGTGTGGTCAACACAGGTCAGAGTACGTTAGGTCAGATTAGGTTAGGGAGGCGTTAGGAGCGTATGGCAGGGTAAGTCAACGTGGGTTCCCTCACAGGACCACACTAGGACAGAGATCCAGTAAATCCTGATACTGTGTCTCCGCTTCAGACATTACCCAGTGTTTACAATACAATAAAGAGTCGAACTGCCTGTAAACGGGACCACAAGAGTCTCATTGTGTAAACTGAATTTTGACAGTAGTTTAAAATTATGTTAGGAGACGGTCACGACAGGTGTGAGAGGTCACTAGACAGGTGTGGGGACGACACTACGACAGGTGTGATACTGGGACAGGTGTGAGAGGACGACCACTAGGACAGGTGTGGAGGGAGGGTCACTAGGACAGGTGGAGGGGACGACACTGCGACAGGTGTGTGAGGGGACGACACTACGACAGGTGAGGGGACGACAGTGGGACAGGTGAGGATAACACTGGGGCAGGTGTGGGGACGACAGTGGGACAGTGGTGTGAGGGATAACACTAGGGACAGGTGTGAGGGACGAGCACCTTCCTGCATCGCGGACTTTTCAGTTCTGGTTAAGGTCAACAACACCGACTGATCTACCTGGTATCAGTGAACCGACCTCGTGTGAAGTATTGTTTTCTATTAAATGTTTGTAACTTTTATTCTTCTTTTACATCAGTGACTTATATTAACACTTAACTTCTCTTACTTTTATTTATATTTTAGTTTTGTTCTCAATCATTCAAATGGTCTTTTGTTTTGTCCGGATTTATATTTATTGATATTATTATTTGTGTTTATAAAACACTTTTAATTCTATATTTACATGTACTGAACAATCGTCCTTTAGGCTCTGATCTGGAGGATGAAATACAGTAAGTAATGTTTCAGAAACGTTAGGTAATTGAATTAAACAACTCAACACCAATATGTTTGTGATTTCCTGGTGCTCTTTTTTTCACTGTGTGTGTGTGTGTGTGTGTGTGTGTGTGTGTGTGTGTGTGTGTGAAGATATACTGTAACAGAGTGTACAAGAGCACCATATATTTGACTGTAACTCATGGTCCTCTTCATCTGCGACAGGATCAATTGCAGGGAGGTTTATACGAGCTATTAAAGGTGATTAAAATAAGTATGTTATTTAATAAATTCCCAATTTTGTAATTACATCCACGCTTTTATTTAACTCATGTAAAGAAAAAATGCGCATCAATATAAAGGATTTAACACGTTATATAGTTACGTATAGAGTCTAAAGATAAACGAGAACCTATAAACATCAGAAGTCACCACTTCGAAACAAAATACAGACGACGCATTGCACCAAGACCTGTGAGTTGTGATGTGTCCAACTCACTTTTGCTTAGTCGATTTATGAACACGAAGTATGTCGTATTTATACTTAATGGCAATAAATATCTGGAAGCAATCATTTAATGAAAACAACATATATAGGAATAACAATGTTACTGGGGAAGAAATAACATGGGGAGGGAGGAAGCCTGTATAGGTCAGTCACCCATCAAGAATATGACATTTCTTTCTCTGCATGAGGTGAGAGAGTGGTCCTTCACTTTTGAGGACCAAAGGAAACATAAAACAACTTCCTTACGATACCAAACAAGTGTTGAGACTAAATACATGTCTCAGTCTAGATAATTGAGAGACACAAAACCTAACAAAATATGTAACGATATTATGATAACGTAAGAAAATTTATTGATTATATATAAAGTCAATTCACATTCAAGTACAGATGAACGAAGCATTCACAGCTGATTAATACTCTCATACAAACAGAACATAAAGATGAATAAGGAAATATTGGAAGCAGAGATTTCTAAAACTCGCATGATAACATATATAAAAACACGGGGTGTATTGTCCGCAGACTTTAATGCAAATTACGTTGTTTGTCAAAATAAAGTGATATATTGACGTATTTTAAAATTCCACAAATCAGACTGTAATGTTGATTACACGCAATACAGTACAGCACAAAATCGATGAGAGTGTTAATAAACAGGCTGAATTACCGAGCCAATAACAGGTACACTTGTCCAGGTGGTGCTCATGTCACCAAGATATAACTCGCCTCATACCGCTCTAAATATAAGTATTGGTTTATATATAAAGAAATATATAATGAACTAGTACAGATGAGAGATAAAACACTGAAATATAATAAGCAAGAAAAAACAATTATAAGAGGAGTGTGAAAGGCAGGCCTATGTATGTATGTATGTATGTGTATGTATGTATGGTGTATGTATGTATGTGGGTATGTATGTATGTATGTATGTATGTATGTGTTATGCGTCGGTGAAGTTTCAGTTTTGGTCCGTGTAGTCTTATGTACCGAAGTCGTGTGTGCGCGAGCTCGCGTTTACGCAAAACAGATGTTGGACTAAAAGTAACAAAAAAAAAGAGCATTTGCAATTACTTTTAACTGTCTGTGTGTCAATCTGTTTGTTTGTTCGTTTGTCTTCTGTTTGTCTGTCTGTCTGTCTTTGCTGTTTGTCTGTCCTGTCTTTCTGTTTATCTGTCTGTCTGTCCTTTCTGCTTATTCGTTCGTCTGTCTTTCTGTCTGTCTGTCTGTCTGTCTTTCTGTTTGTCTGTCTGTCTGTTTTTCTGCTGTTTGTCTGTCTGTCTTTCTCTTCTGTTTGTCTGTTCGTCTGCCTTTCTGTTTGTCTGTTCGTCTTCTGTTTATCTGTTTGTTCGTCTTTTCTGTTTATCTGTCGTCTGTTTTTCTGTCTGTCTGTCTGTCTGTCTTTTCGTTTGTCTGTCTGTCCGTTTTCGTCCGTTTGTCTGTCGTCTGTCTTTCTGTCTGTTCGTTCGCTTTTTCAAACACGGTTGCAATCACCGAAGGGCAAATGAGATGATATATGGTCAAGGAGGAGGAGGGTCAGGAGGGGGGCCGAGGAGAAGAGGAGGGGTGATAAGGGGAGGAGGAGGAGGATGGGAGGAGGAGGAGGCAAGGGAGGGAGAAGGGAGGAGGAGAAGGAGGAGGAGGAGTAAGGGGAGGAGGAGAGGAGAAGGGAGGAGGGGAGAAAGAACGGGAGGAACAAGGTAGAGGAGGAAATGAGGAAGGGTGGAGGAGGAGGAGGAGGAGGAAAATGAGGAGGGGAGGAGGAAGGGAAAATGAGGGAGGAGGGAGGAAGAGGAAATGAGAAGCAGGAAGAAGAGAACGAGGAGGTGGAGAGGAGAAAGAGGGGGTGGAGGGGGGGGGGGAGGACAGGTTGATTATCAAATGGTGATCACTGGCAGGTAACATGACCACTGGGGTTGGACAGGCGACAAACATATAAAACAGACACACCGTGCGACCAAGATGGTCTCCCACCACTGCTGATTGCCTGGCTCCATAGTGACAGGTGTGGGGTTGATATGACAGGTGTGTGGTGGGTTATGACAGGTGGTGGTTAATATGACAGGTGTGGCGGATTAATATGACAGGTGTGGGGTTAAGACAGGTGTGGTGGGCTGATATGAGGTGTGTGGGGCTGATATGACAGGTGTGGTTAATATGACAGGTGTGATGGGTTGATATGACAGGTGTGTGGTGGGGTTGATATGACAGGTGGTGGGGTTATTATGACAGGTGTGGTGGGCTATATGACAGGTGTGGTGGGGTTAATATGACAGGTGTGGTGGTCTTATGACAGTGTGTGTGGGCGGATTAATTTGACAGGTGTGGTGGGTTAATATGACAGGTGTGGTGGGCTGATATGACAGGTGTGGGGTTAATATGACAGGTGTGGTGGGTTAATATGACAGGTGTGGTGGGGTTGATATGACAGGTGTGGTGGGGTTGATACAGGTGTGGTGGGTTAATTGACAGGTGTGGTGGGCTGATATGAAAGGTGTGGTGGGGTTAATATGACAGGTGTGTGGGGCTGATATGACAGGTGTGGCGGATTAATATGACAGGTGTGGTGGGCTGAGTGGAGAGGTGGTGGGTTGTTAACAGACATGGGAAAAGCATAAGACAGTAAAAATAAAGGGCGATAAGGTGTGTGGCCAAGGTAACAAGAGGTGAGTATAATCGAGAAAATAGCAATGTGGTTAATGTGCTGACGAGGAACCGAAAATGTATCACCGACTGACTGACCTGACTAACTTAATTGACTGTCAATGAAGAAGAAGACAACCTCTGTGTATACACCGGCCGTGACAGCTAAGCTCGGAACCTGCTAAAAGCTAAACTTATCGTCAGCTTTGCCAGTACACCAGAGTTTTACCTGCGTCAACGGCACTGGGGACCAAATTTCACTTTTCTGTCTATTTCTCCTGTAAAATAAAATGTTTTGACAGTTCAACATGAGAAGAAAGATGAACAGATTTAAATAGCCTTCTACAATCGAATGAAGGCTGTAAAAACTGAATGAAGAGATAAGTGAACTCATGAACTTTCATAAAACATTAGGAACCAAATGTAGACTTACCCTGGTGACCACACATAAAATGAATGCTGGCCCGCTCTAAAGGATGGTCACTAAGTAGAATAAATACTGATGATAATACTCGTACAAGATGATGTAAAGGTTTGAGTTGATTGAAGCAATGTTACTTAAGTAATAGAAGAGCACACCTTGGTTTATTATTTATCCATATCTCTAACAAAATGAAAATCGGATAAAACCAGGTGAAAACCGGAATGACATGACAGGATATTATATAGCTACTTACTACGAGAGTTGCCGCCAATAATACTACTACTATGATTATTACTACCACATTACTTTGACAGATTATTACTACTACTAGCCACACAATATTAGTAATATGTCTCCAGATCCCCATCAAGACACCACATCCTCAGTCCACATCAGACTCACACGTCCTCCCAGTCCACACACATCAAGACACCTAATGCTCGCAGGTCTACATCAAGACACCCATGAATGTGTCCCTCCAGGTCCACATCAAAACACCCACACGTCCCCAGGTCCACATCAAGACACCCACACGTCTTCCGTGTGTCCACATCAAAACACCACACGTCCTCAGGCCCCTGCTGATCAAGACACCCACACGTCTTCCAGGTCCCCATCACATCTACAACGTCCCTCAGGTCCCCATCAAGACACCCACACGTCCCAGGTCCACATCACACACCCACACGTCCCTCCAGTGTGTCCCCCATCACATTTGTTAACGTCCCTCAGTAACCCCATCAAGACATCTACAATTGTAACCCTTGCACGTATGTCTCTGCACGTCCCCCTCCAGGTCCACATCAAGACACCTACACGTCTCCAGGCCCACATCAAGCACACCCGCACACGTCTCCAGGTCCACATCAAGACACCCACACGTCCTCCAGGCCCATCACACAACGCACACGTCCCCAGGCTCCATCAAGACGCCCACACGCCCTGTCGACTCACCCAATAACCAGATCATGTTTCACTCACAGTTCTGATGCGGGCCATTAGCTCACCCCTCTTCCATCCTCCTCTTTCCCACCCTCTCCTTCCCTTCCCGCCCTCTCTCATACTTCCCCACCGACCAAACCAGCCAATCAATATGTCTGTGCTATCCCCATCTGGACTTTCATCCTAGTGCAGATAAAAGACTTCCTCAGGGTGCCACTTACCTGGACACCTTCATTAGTCATAAGTCTGTGCACTGGAGTGCCACATTCACATCCTAAGAATACCATAATGATCTTTCTTCCCGAGTGTGTCACGCACTCAACCCTTTCAGAGTGCCACAGCATTTGGGCATCAGAGAGCAAAATATCCAACATCCCTCCTCGCAGGTGGAAGACACTTTCTGAAAAGGATATTAAAAAAAATCATACAGTGCCTTTAAATAGTGTATATACATATATAGTACATGACACACTTATCCTATGGCAGGCTGTAAATGTTTTATCCGTACAGCAAGCAGCACCACAGCCTGGGAGTGTGTGGAGAGCTGAGTAATGAGATGTGGCGGCAACGCCGCGCCGTAGCCAGGCTGAAATGAATGCGCGGACAGTGAATACCCGTTTTGTGTGTAATACACACTGCCAAAGAAGAACATCAACATAGGATACTTAATTGCTGCC